AGCCTTCTGAACACCACACAAGGTCTGTGTGGGATAGATGGTGTGAGGTGAGGGTCCAGTTTGAGTATGGACTAATATTTTTTCAACACCCTCTGTATATCAAAGGCCTTGCTCATATACCTGGTACTGAATGGAACTAGGCCTAGTGTAGTCATCTCTCTGGCTGGTTTTTCCTGAGGCACATATTCGCTATCGTAGCTTGCTCGATATTTCTTGAAGGCTGCTTGGACCACCCTGGCATCATAAACTTTATCTGAAAACTTTGTCTTGAGAATCGGGCTCTGTTCTTCATAGTCTTCCACTCTGGTGCATGTTCTCTTTAGTCTTCAAAACTGTCCAAATGGGACATTGCGGATCCATCGGGGATGATGATGGCTATTGCATGCAAGAATTAATTACCTGCTGTTGCTTTAAAATGGGTCCTAGAAATGATTTTCAGTTCCACATCAAAGCCTAACTTCAAATCAAAAAAAAAAAACAACTTGTGACAGTCAGTCACATATGTGAATTCGATGTTGAATGGGTTGGCTTGGCAGTAGGCTATAAATTCCTGTAGTTGTAGATCAGAACCTTCCCATATGATGAGACTGTCTTCTATATAGTGGGCATAGAGGACCAGGTTTGCCCCAATTGGGTTATTTCTCCAAATGTGCAAGTGTTCCCAATAATTATGGGTTAGAGTATACTCTATGCTTTGCACAATGAATTCTGCCTGGGCATGGTGAATACTGTTATCTTGTGCCAGAAAGAATTGCACCGCCTGTAGGCCAAAATGACAATGAATCAATGTGTATAGAGAGGAAACATCCAGAGGTAGCCATTTTGTATGATGTCCACCAACTATAATTGGATAAAATATCCAACATGTGGCCTGAATCCCTTAAGTAAGATGGTAATTCTACCACTATTTTCTGTAGAAAATGATCTATATAGCTACCAATGCTGCTGGTTAGACTATCTATACCTGCAATAATAGGTCTTCCAGGTGGACTGGTCGCATGTTTGTGAATGTTGGTGATGTGGTAGAAGTGAGGTGTTTGAGGGTAAGGGCTCAAAATAAATTGCCACTCTTGTTTTTTCAGAATCTTTCTCTCCAGATCTTGATCCAACAATACTTTCAATGACTGCTTATATGTAGCTACAGAGTCTCATGATAGACTCTCATAGATGTTGGTGTCTCCTAGGAGTCTTCTTGCTTCTTCCAAGTAGGCTTGTCTCTGCTGTATGACAAGCCCCCCCCCCCCCCCCCCGCTTGCCTGATGATGATGATAGAAGTGTTTTTTTTCAGGCCTTGTAGCGTGTCCTTCTCCTGTGGTGACATGTATCTTTTTAGCACCCTCACAGATTTTGATCAAATCCGCATAGAACACTTCATAAAACATAGAAATGAAGTTGCCCTTAGCTCCATGAGGGTAAAAGGAGGACTTGGGTCTAAAGTGTGTGTACTGCATTTCCCCAATACTAAGACTCTCCCAAGGAGAGTATTATGATATCTTTTAAGAGTCAGGTTTCTAACAAATATGTTCAAGTCTACAAAGAGTTCAAATAGATTGGGAGGATTCTGTGGTTTAAAATTTTAAACCCTTTTGTAGAAGACAAATTTCATTTTCTGTGAGGGCATGTTCAGACAAATTGAAGATCTTAATCGTAGATGATTTAGAGTCTATATTTTTCCTCTTTTTGAACTTGCTTCCACCTCAGGTGCCTCTTTGGGTTCTTTTTCTCTTTTTTTCCCTCCTGTTGACCCTCCCAGTTGCAGGGGTTTGGTCTCTTTAAGGGGTTTGAGTCCTGGGGGACACCAGCCTTTGCTCTGAAGAAGGGGACAGTCCCTGAAACACGTCAAACTCACACCATCTTGTCTTCAGTTGGAGGAGGAGAGCGGTCCACATTGTGTGTTTTCTGCAACCATATGCCAATTACCTACTTGGTTTGTGGGTAAAACCTTTTGTCTTTCATTTTCAATAAATAGTTTTTAAGGTAATGCGCTAGACCATTTGTGCCCTCTTTGTTTTCATGTTTTTGTGCAGTGTTGGATTTCCCCAGTCTGAAGACGGCTGCACCGCCATTTCTTTCCAGTCCTGGTTGTGAAAAATCCATGGGATTACACCTAGAGTGATGGTATCCATTTCTGAGTGCCAAGTGTCAAGTTTGACAGTCTTTGTACCTCACTCATTATGTGGTTTTCTGACCTCTACCAAGACAACACTGCTTCCATATAAAGAGCATGGGTCCTTCTCTGCAGCACGCTGACGGGGGGAAGGCTGTGGCTGTTTTCCAAATAAATTTGAACTGTAAGGCCTCAGGCACACCAGACACAAAAAACACTGTTTTTACTGGCATTTTACTTTTTTTTTTTTTTTTTTTTTTTTTTTTTTTCCTTCTGTGTGGCCATGCACACATAGGCATTTACAGATGTATTATAAGAGGAGTATTTAGAAAAAAACATCACTTGTGCATTCAGAAGAGGAGCATTTGAGCAGAAAAAAACACTTGATGCGCCTAAGCACCTGTAGAAACGCCTAAATGCTAGGCGCATTGAGCCTTTTATTAATTCCAGTGGCCAGACTAAATTTAATATTTTGGCCAATGGAATGAATGAACACCTAAAACATGTTTGTTTGCAAAATATGGCTTTAGGCGCGGTTTTTGTTGTTTTTTTTTTTTTTTATTTTTGTTTGTTTTTGTTTTTTTGTTGTGTGTTTTTTTTTTTTTTTTTTTTTTTTTTAGCTGCTTTTCTCTTGCCAGGAAAAAAGATGTTCAGAGGAGCTGGGTGCATGAGGTCTAAGAATTTTGCAAGTTTTAAAGCACTTAGATTGTATTTACCTGATTTTAAACAGAATGTTTAATTCCACTATATTGCCAAAAGTATTGGGACGCCTTTACAAGCACATGAACTTTAACGGCATCCCAGTCTTAGTCCGTAGGGTTCAATATTGAGTTGGCCTAGCCTTTTGTAGCTATAATAGCTTCAACTCTTCTGGAAACGCTGTCCACAAGGTTTAGGAGTGTGTCTATGACCATTCTTCCAGAAGCGCATTTGTGAGGTCAGGCACTGATATCAGACAAGAAGGCCTGGCTTGCAGTCTCTACTCTAATTCATCCCAAAGATGTTCTATCAGGTTGAAGTCAGGACTGTGCAGGCCAGTCAAGTTCCTCCATCCCAAATTCGCTCATCCATGTCTTTATGGACTTTGCTTTGTGCACTGGTGTGCAGTCATGTTGGAACAGGAAGGGGCCATCCCCAAACTGGTTCCCACAAAGTTGGGAGCATGAAATTGTCCAAAATGTCTTGGTATGCTGACGCCTTAAGAGTTCCCTTCACTGGAAGTAAGGGACCCAACCACTGAAAAACAACCCCACAGCAATACCCCCTCCACCAAACTTTACACTTGGCACAATGTAGTCAAGCAAGTACCGTTCTCCTGGCAACAGCCAAACTCAGACACATCCATCAGATTACCAGACAGAGAAGTGTGATTTGTCACTTCATAGAACACGTCTCCTTTGCTCTAGAGTCCAGTTGCAGCATGCTTTTACACCACTGCATCCGACGATTTGCATTGCACTTGGTGATGTAAGGCTTGGATGCTGCTGCTCAACCATGGAAACCCATTATATGAAGGAATGCACTTTTGTTGTGCTCATCTGAAGGCCACAGGAAGTTTAGAGGTCTTTAGCTATTGACTCTGCAGACAGTTGGTGACTTCTGTGCGCTTCAGCATGCGCTGACCCCACTGTCATTTTACTTGACCTACCACTTCTTGGCTCTTCTTCTCAGTTGCTTCCACTTTGTTGTAATACCAACAGTTGACCGTGGAATATTTAGTAGCAAGGAAATTTCACTTATGGAGTTATTGCACAGATGGCAACCTATCACGGTACTACACTTGAATTACCTGGGCTCCTGAGAGCGACCCATTCTTTCACAAATGTTTGTAGAAGCAGTCTGCGTGAATAGCTGCTTGATGTTCTACATCTGTGGCCATGGAGGTGATTGGAACACCTGAATCCAATGATTTGGAGCGTGTGTCAATACTTTTGGCAATATAATGTAGGCTTTAACAGTTTGAGACACATCTAGATATACCTTAGGCCCCTTTCACATGGGGTGGGCACTGTTTTTGATCAGCAGAGGATCTGTCCGGTGATCCCCTGCTCATCAGAGCAGTGGGCAAATGATAGGTCTGTGTCTGCTCAGTTTATGCAGAGCTGGCACAGGCAAAGACGATAAAGTATTGATAGGTGAGCACTGCCCAGTTAAATCCTAATAAGCAAAATAAACAATAATGTGCAGTGACACTAATTCAAGTCCATAAATAAACTTGTGCAATAAAGTGTAGTCTCTTTTATTATTATTATTATTTTTTTTTCTTATTGCACAAGTTTTATTTTATGGACTTTTGTTTATTATGATTTATCTGGGCAGTGCTCACCTATCAATACCTAATAGTCTTTGAGGGTCAGAACCCTATATAGGAGCAGCAGCCAATCATTTGTCATTATTATTTGTTTGAGTCTTCACTGTAATTTTCACAAGCACAAGGTATAATCCATAGCGCAGGATGTGTCTCAGTACTGACAGACATAGCCCGCTATGCTCTATGGGGGTCGGCGTAAACTGACTCCACTGTTCGTTTACACCTGACTGCCCTCCGATCCCATCTGCCTAGATGGAGGAGAGTGGATCCCCTTCTGCTTCTTTAGCAGACCAGACCGCACTGGAGGTAGGTCCATAAGGGTGAATAGAAGGTCTGATCAGGTCTGCCTGAAAACCTGAAAGGTGGACCTGTTCAGACTCTGTTGAAAGGAGCTTTAAGGATACACTGTTGATCACTAAACTCTACAAATCCAGTCAAAATTTGGAATTATAAATTTATTATAGTTGCCTTTTTGCTATTTTTATCAATGAGTTCACTTTCAAATTATTCTCTTTTGAACATTTGTGTTGGTTATCACTGATTTAATTGATTTTAACACTGCCCATCTTTTCTTGCCCACAGGATACAGAGCTACAATTAGTGCACCCCATATGGTGAGTTCTCAATGCATTATTATATTTTTAACTTTTACTGTTGAAAATAAGTAGTATTAGTACAGTTTTAATAAGGATTTTTTCTGGTACAAAAATTTAAAATCCTTAACTGTATTTTTAGACGGGTAAAGTGGATCCAGCATCATATTTTTAATATAAAGTGCATGCATGATAACTAAAGAACAGGTATACCAGATATGTGTTTCTTCTCACAGAGACCACAGTACACTCTGTACTCCCTATCAATGTCTTCATCTGTTGTTCTTTCCTGAAATAAAGAGCCATCTTTGTTCTGGTACTATCCAGGGTACTGCATACACATTTACTTCTGGACCAAAATACTAGCTCAGAAATTATACAATACTGTATATAAATTCTAACACCTGTGCAGTTCTTGGCTGTTTCACAAGTGTCTGACAGAAATATGCCCCTGATGCAGTTTTTCACTTTGCAACATGCTAAAAAGATATAATATTGCGGTCTGATCACTGCCTGCAGCTGACTGATGACATCATCTCAACCTTTGTAAAGGGTAAAGTCATTCAACTGGGGCTTAACGACTGTTTTATAATGATGAAAGGTAGAGCTTTTTTTCTTTTTTTTTTTTTTTCTTTTCTTTTGGAAAAAAAAATTATACTGGGTCGGTATATTTTGACATGTATACAATGTGTTAATGCAAAATTGTAAAGTTACAGAAAGTTCCACTTTTAATATGTTTTATAACTGCAGAAAGAAGGTTTCATTGTATTATGAATATTTTAATGCCATAAGGACACAAAAACTACAATAAAATCAGAATTCTATGTGACTATTTCTTAAACTAGTTATGAATATAAAACTAGTACTTTATGATAGCTGAATACTGCTATGTTATTGAAACGTTTGTAAGAGTAAAAACTAAATAAAAAATGTCATTTTATGTGTTCCCAAAGGCAATTTTCTAAAAGGAAAAAAAAAAACAGAAAAAGTGCTCTGTGTTAAAGGCAATGTAAACTCCAGTGCCTGTAGAGTGATCCACTAGCTTGTATTTATTTATTACAGATTTTGCTCTATATAGCACCGACAATTCACACAGCATTTTACAGAGACCCAATGGACCGGAAGATATTTAGGTTTCCTGAAGTTCAGCGTTAAGAATGCCTTTTAGAAACTAACATACACTGTACAGCAGGAGTTGACAGGAGTCACTTTGGGTGGGGGGCCCATGGAACCCAGCTCACTTTGGAGAGGTGGGGATACCCCTGTCTCAGCTCCCCATATCCCTCTTATGTGTAAATCACCCTGTGCCTGTTAGGGATAAAGGGTGATCTGTCCTAATATTGTTTGGGCTTTGTCTCAGACTGTGTAGACATGTTTAGGAGATAGGTGGGGTGGGGGTTGTTGATTGTTTAATGTTATGTGGCTGCATCCCATTGTTCTATTGTTTTGTCTGGCTTGGGAGCAAACTATTATGGGATGTATGTGTTTGTGTATTAGCTTAGTGGGGTGATGTCTCCAGCTGCCCTCCCTCCTGATGGGACTGTCTGCTGGTGTGAAGTACCTGTGTGTCTCTTGTTACTAAATGTAGATTGCCCCGCCCAGTGTCATGCAGGGAGGGGGTATTGTTCCCTGAGTGTATATATCTTGTATCTGTGTTCAAATAAAGTAGTCTACCTCTGGTTTACTTCAAATCTGGTGTCGTCTGGATCTTGGGCTAACAATAGCCAGATTCACTGGTCTCGTGTTCCAGAGCCTGAGAAGCAGCTTCTTGACTGAGATACCCATTCGTGGATGTTTGGGGTCCGTTACAGGGGTGTCCAACCCGTGGCCCACGAGCCTCATGTGGCCTAACACAAAATCATAAACTTATTTAAAAAACTTTGATTTTGGGGAGATATTTTGTAAAAACATGTTTTACACTTAGCAAAAACATGCAGTTGAAGAAATATTTGACAATGTCTCTTTATGGGACTTTTATAAGTCTTGTCTTTCCAATGAAAAATCTCCTACTCTTCACAATCGTGCCTTATTTATGTCATCAGTTTTTTGTCAGCAGCTATCTTTTGTGAGCAACTGTTTTCAAGGATGAAGCACACGAAGGGCAAAATTAGAACCAAAATATCTGATGAGCACTGTTAGAAACAATTGAGAATTGCTACTACATCCATAGAACCAGATATCTATGTGTTTTTGTTTATGTAAGATTTTATATTGCCCTCCTTTTTTTACTTTTAAGATAAAAAAATTACAACTAAAATAAAGTTTTATTGCTCAGAGAGGTACATTATCTGAATCAATTTCTGTTTAATGTGATTCTGGTATGGAAAGCTTATGCTTTATCATTATGCAAGGTTTAGCAAATGCATAAGAATTTTAGTTAGACATAATGAATCATAAGCCAAATATTAATCTGAGTCTCTGTGGTGTTCCTGTGTCTTACAGCATGCACATGCCCTGGAGGTATTAGAAGATAAATTGGTCGAGGGTGCTAAGGCATTGGACGTTGGCTCGGGGAGTGGATATCTCACTGCCTGCTTTGCCAGAATGGTTAGAGTTTTCATAAATATTTTTTTATAAATAAGTAAAACTGGTATAAATCAGAGATTGTTCAATAAAATGATCATTTAGAATGACCGTAGGTAAGCAGATGTCTGAGACTGACTGACTGACAGTGATTTATTTGCATGGTCTTGAAGTTGTTAATAAGTGATCAGCCCCATCATTCTGAATATTTACCGCAGATTTTTTGTTATGTGAAGTCCTCATTATTGCCCCCAGGATGTCTTACACTGGCCATCACTCATCTGATCTGTTCAATCATTAGGCAGTTGAGGTATATATAACCAAACCTGGGCTGGCAATAGACTGGAAAATGCCCCACCAAGTATGACTGGTGGTGAGCCATCTGCCTAGCTATGACCAGGCTACATTTGGCCATGTTTAATCAGATTCCCTTAGTAGATCAAAAACAAAATAACATTTTCTACTGCTCGAATAATGTTTGCATGTGCTTGTCGGGTTGAATACTGGGTTGTCAGGAACATCAAGGACTACTACACAATGGCACCCATCTGCACATTGCCTGGGCATATAGTCAACTCCTCCTTTTGTAAAAAAAAAAAAAAAAAAAAAAACAGTTCTTTAGCTTGGTGCTTTTTCTTGCTCATCTGCTACCCATGCTTGGGATACTTTAACAATTAATGGCACCACAAGCTTTACTCTCGTTTGCAGCATATTTCCATAATGCACAGCAAAATGCATATTTTCTGTGCACTTTATGTGAATGTGGGGTGAACGTTTAGTACTCCTTAGCTAGGAGAACACTTAGATTTCAGTATTTGTGCAATCCAGGAGTTTTTTGAGTAGATCTCAACCTCTGTACAGCCCTGCTGTTGAGAGATAAATGCTTGATGCATTCTCAGTGAAATTCACGAAAACCTTTAAAGTTAAAGTATAACCAAAACCAATTTTGTACATTTGCATGAAAAAATAAGTTGCCTCCAATGAAGTGTGCACTATATTTAGGCTGCTGCAGTGTTTGTTTTAACTTTTACCTTTATTCAGCCTATACTCTTCTGTCTGGTGCCAAACTTCTGGAACTGAGAATTGTAGGTACGACTGTACTGGAGTACAGATATCACAGGATTTCACATATATTTGCAAATGTGTACAATTAAACCTTCTGTTTTTAACCTGAATTGTTAGACTGGGTCAGTTTGTTTTGGTAAGTATGCTGGGAAATTGTTTGAGATTTCACAGGAGGTCATTCGCTCAGTGCCTCCTACATTCATAAAATGTTTTGCAATGCATCCTGTGTTTGGAGGAGAGAAATTGTGACAATCATCCCCTCCTCCATTCACAGAACACAGTAAAAAGAACGCAAGACTTTCTGTATAGAGAAAATTCTGAACAAGCGACCTCTTGTGTATGTGCTACAGTCAACGCTACAAGTCTCAGCACAGCATGTTCAGTGCCAGTGGGAGTGCAGGCTAAATAAAATGTGTAAAATAGATTAAATGTATGCATACAATATTATAAATACGTGCTATTATCGTAAAACACCTTGCTTTTATGCATAGTTTGTAATTTACATTACTGGGCAGCTACATTTGCTTATTACGTATGGAACAGTTCTATTTAATTTGTTGTGTTTTTTTAATTTTGCTCACAATACAAGGCTATGGTGTTAATTTACTAAAGGCATATAGGCTGTTCTCTTTGTAGGGAATTTTCACTTTCACTTTGAAAGCGATTGTAAAGATGAATAAATTGAATTGAATGTTTGCTCACTCACAAAGAAATGATCAGTCTAAAAATCGAATGTTAGGTGTATTGTAACACTGAGAGACAGAATAGCAACAAAAAATTCAAAAGAAATGCATATCTAACAAATGATGCACTGATTTGCATGTTCATGAGGGAAATAAGTATTTGATCCCCTTCACAAAACATGACTTAGTACCTGGTGGCAAATCCCTTGTTGGCAATCACAGAGGCCAGACGTTTCCTGTAGTTGGCCACCAGGTTTGCACACATCTCAGGAGGGATTTTGGCCCACTCCTCTTGGCATCAGATCCTCTCCAAGTCATTAAGGTTTGGTGGCTGACGGTTGGCAACTCGAACTTTCAGCTCCCTCCACAGATTTTCAATCGTTGTAAGGTCAGAAGACTGACTAGGCCACTCCAGGACCTTAATGTACTTCTTCTTGAGCCACTCCTTTGTTGCCCTGGCCGTATGTTTTGGGTCATTGTCAGGCTGGAACACCCATCTACGACCCATTTTCAATGCCCTGGCTGAGGAAAGAAGGTTCTCACCCAAGATTTGATGGTACATTGTCTCGCCCATCGTCCCTTTGATGTGGGGCAGTTGTCCTGTCCCCTTAGCAGAAAAACACACCCCAAAGCAGAATGTTTCCACCACCATGTTTGACAGTTGGGATGGTGTTCTTGGGGGTCATAGGCAGCATTACTCCTCCTCCAAAAACCCAGTGGTGATCAAATATCGCCAAAATAAAGCTCTATTTGTGTGAAAATAATTACATAAATTTGAAAACTGTATTTGCATATGGTGTTGCATGATCGCACAATTCCCAGTTAAGGTAGCATAGTGCTGAATATAAAAAAATGCCCTGATCATGAACTCAAATTGTTTAAAAAAAAAAAAAAATGAATTTAAAGAATAAATATTTTCGATTACATTTTTGAGTATATGTCATAAAATATATATATATATATATATATATATATATATTTTAAATCAAAATTTAGTTATGCTAGCTAGTCATAAAATAAGAGCAATCTCTCCCTTGTGGTAACACACTGTACAACACGTGCATTACTGCAGCACCCAATAACACAAGAACTGCAGTGTAATGGTAGCGCCATTTATTTTGAATACAACCCCAAGCACGTTCCCAATGCATCATAATTTTCAAATTAACTGAAATGTAGCCTGGTCAATTAGGTTTAAATGACCTTGGGTGACAAAAATGTTAAAAAGACAAGATTTCTTTCCATATGTTAACCACTTCCCCTCTGGAGCAATTTTTACATTTTTGCACACATGTTAAAAGCATGTTTGACTTTAGCTTTAAATTTTTTCCATACACAGAAGCCCTATAGAATAAAAATATGGTAGTTTCAATTTCTATGTTGCATGATATTTGCACAGTTGTTTATCCAATCCTATATTTTCAAGAACAAAATACACTAAAATGAACTTCAGTCCACCAAACGCACAATTTAATCCCCAATTTTTGTACAAAATAAAAGATAAGGTTGTGCTGGTAAATAGATACCAATTATGTCTTGCCACGTTTGCCCTTGAAATGGCAAAACATTAGTTTACTCAAAAATTTACAATAGATGATGTTTTAAATGCCGTTACAGCTCATCCGTTTGGAATTCCCCATAAATGAGGGACCTACAATTTTTACTGCTCTCACTCTGGTCTGAGTGACAACAGCATGTGTGGAGCAATCCTTTACATACACGTGTGCTCTACATATGCGTTTTTGCATTCATATTTGGAAGCACAGGACAATGGGGGTGATGTTAATTTCTTTCTTATTTATTTTGCTATAGTTTACATTTTTTCCACTCTTCTTTCTTTTTTTTTTTTTACATTTAACTTTATTGTTATCACAAGGGGATTACGAGCTCCCTGTTTGATAACATTCAGTAGGTGACAGGTACTCCTTGTTGAGATACCAGTGGTCTTTTAGACCCCTACTGTCTCCCTCACCATTCACTGTGCAACTGGCTTTTCAGCCAGGATTTTGACAGCCCTGAACCTGAAAACACTGCAAAGGTGATGGTGAAAGGCATGTGTCCTTCTTTTAACCTCTTCAGACTCGGGACGTGCTAGATATGTTCAAAGGATTGAAGAGGTTAATCTCATTCAGAAATTATCCAAGGTGTTTTATTTATTTACACCAGAGTTTTGCATCTCTTGTATAACACTTGTCCCACAAACTCTATTTTCCTGACAGCTCTATGTCAGCGTACAACCGCATTTGTGCTGACATGGAGCTCATCAGGAAAGGAAAATTGTGGTAAGTATTTGATATTCAGTTTTCTGTTAGCTCTATATCAGCACAAACATGGTCGTAGGCTGACATAACAACTGACATTGTCAAGAAAGGAAAATTGCAGTAAGTATTTGATATTCAATTTTCCATTTTTCCATGAAGACAATAAAATGTCTGTAGATTTCAGCAGAGAAAGTGTTTCCAGGCTGCTTAAAATATATTGAGACACATGCAGTGATAATTTTTATACTTTATATTTGTACATCCTGATCTGAACATCAACAGCGACATGAGTAGTAGTTCAGTATATGGTCTGTAGGGCATGGATGGTATGTACATACAGTAAAGTCCCTGACTTGCGTACATTCGAGTTGAGAACTTTCACAGATACGAAAAGGACCTAGCATTACAAACATTATAGATGCGAACAAAGCGCCGGACGTAGCTGATGTGTTGGCCAAACATTGTCACGGCTGTGCTGCTGTGTGCTTACTGTATAGTACAGTGCAATAGTGTACTGGACAGAGCCCAGGATGTCCGGAAGCAAGAGGAAAAGCACTGGTGATGTGGAGGGGACTGTTAGGAAGCGCAAAGCAATAACTATGAAAACAAAATTGAAAATAATGGAGAAATTGGACTGAGGCGAAAAGATGGTAGACTGCTCGTTCTTATAACATGGCACGACCATTGGCACAATTCTAAAGAACAAGGCCAAGGTCATGGAACATGGTGAAGTCTGCTGTGTCTATGAAGTCAACAATAATATAAAAAAAAAGTGGTAAAGTAATAGAGGAGATGGAGAAACTTCTCATTGTGTGGATGCAGGATCAACGTCGAGTCCCACTCCACTTAATGCTTATTCAAGAAAAAGATACAAGCCTGTTTGAAGACTTGAAGAAAAAAATGGGGTGAACAGTGTATCTTTTACCGCCAGCCATGGATGGTGTAACAGATTCAAGGCTAGAGCCAACCTTCACAACGTAAAAGTAAGTGGTGAGGCTGCGAATGCGGATACGAT